CTCGTGGCATCCGCGGGAGGCCCAGCCTTCCGGGGCAGCTCCTGGCCGTGGACTGAAGTCACAGAACCGCTCGGCCCCGGCCCGTCACGGGGACCCCAGGCCAGTGCCCGGCGCCCGCGGGAGGAGGCTCCAGGCTCTGGGGGGCTGCCGAGGGAGGCCCGGGGCCTGGAAGCAAGCGGATCAGAAGTTGGGGAGAGAAACAGATTGGCGCGCGGGCGGCCCGGGCTGGCGGCGGGTACCGGAGCCTCTGGAGCGGCTCTGCTGTGTCAGGTTGGAGAACGAGTTTCTCAGAGGAGCTGCAGGTGATACTGTTGCCTCGCTGGGGCTTCAAGCTGCTACAAAGTTAACAGCAGCGGAGTCAGGCTGCGAGCGCAGTGCGGGACTTGTGCTGGTGTGAGTCTCTGCAGCGAGTGCCCAGGAAGGCGCCAGAGGCAGCACACCGCGGACCCCGGCCCCGAGATGGGGGGCAGGCCCTCCCTGGGCCCCCTGGCCCTGCTGAAGCCCGCGGACGCTCTCCGCTCAGCGCAAGAAGGGCTTCTCCGTGGCCTGAGGAGGAAGACTCTTGCTCTGAATGTCGGTCACAGCTGTGTGTCCAGACGCGGCGGGCACCAGGGAGCAGCGGAAGGGCCCGGCTGGGTGGCCTGGGCTCTGGGAGCAGCAGAGTTGGGTGCCCGCCCCAGGGCCCTGGGGTCTTGGGGACACACCTGCTGGGTGGGGGAGTAGAGGGGGGCTCCCCCACCTCCTGGGCTCCCTGCTCCCTCAAGCTTCCTTCAGGACACGCCGGGAACCCCAGCTGTCATGCCAGCAGGGAGCTCAAGCAGCCCCGAGGCGCTGCAGAGAGGACTCGGCCTGCAGCCGCCTCATCAGCCACCTGAGCTGACACCCCTAAAGCAGGACAGAGCTCCCCGGATTCCTGACAAGTAGCCCTGCGGCTGCAGACCCAACCCTGGTCAATCGCGGAGCACAGGGAGCCTCCTGACTGGCGGGAGAGATGGGAACAGGTGGCCTCAAGCCAGCCTCGGCGCGCCACAGTGGGCCGGTGGATGAGGGGACGCGACGCGCCTGGGGCAGGAAGGACACGCAGGGCGCTCAGGTCAGAGCAGAGCGGCTTCTCCCGGCCTCTGAGCCGCCGGAGGCGTTAGCATCGTCGTTCCAAGGGATGCCACCTGCGCCAGGACAGCGTCCCGGCCTCCGGGCCCTCAGGATGCCGGCCGGGCACACAGCTCAGCGTCTGAGAGCGAGGCCCATGCCCAGCCCAGATCATTTTCCGTCTTCACCCAGGAAAAAATATGATGAATTACTAGACACCTGTGTGTGCGTGTGCGTGCGGAAGTCCGCGTGTGTCTCCGTGCATCTGTGCGAATGTGTGTGTGTGTCTGTGCGTGTCTGTGCGTGTTTGTGTGTGTGTGTGTGTGTGTGTTTCACACACGTGCAGCAGCTCAGGGCTCACCCCGGCTGGTGAGAAGTTGGAGGAGGGAGAGGCCGAGCTGGGACGCAGATGCAACAATGGTCTCAGCCGACCCCGGGGGTCTGCAGGAGGAGCGTCCTGGACGCCAAGAGCCTGGAGCGTTCTCTGCCGCGGCCCAAAATTAGGAGCAACCAAGAGGCCCTTGTGGAGGTGGATGGACAAAGACCGGCTCCGTCCAGACCACGGCAGGGGTCTGTGCTCGGAGGGGCGAGAGGCCAGGCCCGAGGAACAGGACGGCCCGCGAGCTCCCGAGCGAGGGGCCAGGCTGAAGGGCTGCCCGCTGTGTGACCATGACCCTGGCACCTTCTGGAAAAGGCTAGCGATGGAGACGGGGGCGGGCACTGGTGGCCCGGGAGGAGGGCGGGTCAGGCGGGGGAGCAGGGGCGTGAGGTAAGGGCAGCACTCTGCGCGGCAGACCCCACGCCACAGGCAAGGCCGCAGACCCAGATAGGAAACACAGGCTTGCGTTCAGCGTGACGAACACGCACAGATTTGAGGCGCCAGCGCTGCTGGGCGGGGCCGGCGGGCCTGGGTGCGCCTGGCGCCTTGTGGCTCCTGGTCGGGCTGTCTCAGGCATTTCTCACCACGGCACAGGGGCCCGGGGCCCTCGGCAGGGCTGCTGAGAGGCCTCAGCTCGCATCCTGGTGTCCACGCGGCCAGCGAGGAGCAGCATTCAGGGCGGGAATGGCCAAACTCCCACTTCCCCCAGCGCGGAGCCTCCAACCTTCGGCCTCCCCCATCCCCGGCAGAGAGAGGCCTGCATTCCACGGCGCAAGACCAGGGGCCTCAGGCCTCCTGTGCCTGCTCGCCGCCGGGACACCCGGGCCCCTCCTCACCGCCCCCCCTCCCAATATCCCTACAGCCCCCCCGTCCACTAGCCCCTTGACAGCGCGGGCTCGGGACCTTGGCACTGCTGGTCCTTCTGCGGGGCTGTCCCTCCCGGACACTCCCCCAGCTCCATGTCCCTGGGGGTGGGGGCTGGAGGGGACCCCCTGGCTGACCTGCTGTGAACAGCACCCCTGACCCAGGGCTCAGCTTTGCCTCCCTCATACTGGTCACCTGTGCCAGCCGCTTAGCAGGGATTTTTCCACCACCTCCCCCTGCTGAGGCAGCTCGGTGGCAGGAAACACGCCCCACCCCGCTGGCAGGGTCTCTGGCTTGCTGGGGCCCCATGGCCGTGGGGGCCCCTGACTGTCCCTGCTTCTCTGTCCAGCCCCCAGCCTCAGCTTCTCTAGCCCGAAGAGCTCCCCACTGCCTGCAGAAAAGACCCAGCCTCTGACCCCAGCCCGTCAGGCCCAGGGGACCCCCAGGAGAGAACGGGGAAGAGAGGCCCACTGGCACCCCCCGAACCCCCTCTTGGACTGAACAACAACTGCTCCAGCGCTGCTCCGGCACCAACCAGCGCCAGGCTGGTGAGGCCCTGACTCCGGGGGAGCAACCCAGGCCCTAAGCCCCTCTCCTGCCCCTCGGGGCCCTCTAGTTCTGCCTCCCTCACAGCCTGTTCCTCCCTCAGCCTGCAGCCCCGTCCATCCCACGGCCTCCCAGGGTCCTCTGGAAGCCTCCCTGGCGGCTGGGGAAGTGCCCGCCAGCCCAGGGCCGCACCTCCGCAGCCCCTGCCCCTGCTTCGTGGGTCTGTGGGTCAGCAGCAGCCCCTCGTGTGCCCGTCCCAGGGCGCATGTGAAAACCCCGGGGAAGCAGCATCCAAGCCGTGTGTGCCAGGTGGCCGCACCCCGCCACCCTGGGAGACCGGGCTCCTCCCTGGCCCTCCAAGCGCAGCACTCTGGACCCACACACCCCAGGCCCAAATCCGTGGGCCCCACCAAGTCGGGGCCGGTCCTTGGGCAGGTCACTCCCGGCCTCAGCTCCTCTTGAGGCACGTGGGGGGCCCATGGGGGCACATGGGGGGCCCACCAGCACTGCCCGCATCGTGGGCCCGTGGCAGGCCGCCCCGGTGGTCCCTCTCTTCATCATCTTCGCCATCAGCATCGGTATCCTCCTGGGTCTGGGCCGCTGGGTCCGACACCCCCAGGACTGTGGGCAGACCACCCCACGTGTTTGCCTGGGGCTCCAGCGAGGCCTGGGGGGCTCAGCACGCTCTGTGTCCCACTTCAACAACGGGCCGGCAGCCGCCACGCCGGGCTGTCCTCACGGGGCCGTAGGACAGGACCCCGCAGGCGGGAAACACACCCACAGAAGGGACGGCTGGCCCCGGAGACCCAGTGCTCCTGCCTGTAGACGCCACCCCTGGGTGTCAGCTCCGGCGGTGGGGGGGCAGCACCCCTCACTTGGGCTGCTTTTGAACAAGCCCCCCGTGAGAGACACCAGGAGCAGCTATAGGTGGGCCGCACTCGGGTCCTGGGGGGAGCTGCCTGAGTGGCAGAGGCTGCTGTGGGGGGCCCTGTGCAGTGGGGGCTGGGGGTGGGGGTGCCCCCCAGCCCCGCTCTGTCCTGGCAAGGGTTTGTACTTCAAGCAGAGTGGCGCGCGCTCCCAGCCAGCTCTGGCCTGGGCTGCCCCCTCCCCCAGCCAGGCCGTCCCGGGCCTGATCACACAGGCCCAGCTGGAGGGTCCCCCGCCATGGAGAGGTTGGGGTCTCGGGGGTCTGACTGGGCCCGGCTCTTGGTTCCCGGGGCGCTGCCCCCACCGCTGGCCGGGCCTCAGCATCCCCGCCCGCTCTGGGCGCTGGGGGAGGTGAGTCCACTGCGTGTCTGTGCGGCTCCGGAGGCCAGGACTGGGCGGCACCCCGGAGCTGGGCCTGCACAAGACACCCGTCCTCCACTTCCCGGGCCCATGGCACACACACACACACACACACACACACACACAGACACAAATGCACACGCGCACACGCGAGCGCAGGCCCTTGCTGTTTCACATCACCCTTTCCAGTGCAGCCAGTTTTCAAAGGTTTATGGGTCACCTATGAAAACGTGAACCTCCCCTTCAGGAGGAGGAGGGAACCTCTGAAACCAGGCGGTGGTGGGTGTTGTGCGATGTGCGGGACGGCCTTGAGCCCTTGCTGGTTGGAGCTCATCCCCCACCCCACAAGGCCCAAGGGGGCCTCCCCTCCCCCAGCCCCCACAGGCCTGAGGGCCGCCCCTCCCCCACCACAGGCACCGACTAGGTGGTGAACACATCAGGGGTCCTTTGTCCCCATCCCAGGGGGCCCCTGACCTCCAAACTGGGGACCCTGGAGCAGCTGGGGCTCCGTTGTGGGGCCGAAAAGTATGTGAAGTTCGGGTGAGGGGGCACCTCAGAGGAGGGCGTGTGTGTGTGTGTGTGTGTGTGTGTGTGTCTTCGCCCACCGGGCTCAGGGGTCAGTGAGGCCTGGAGTGAGGAGGCAGGGGTGCAAGTGGGGGCTCCTCCGAGGTGGACGAAGGGCGGGGCGCTCATCCCTAAGCCAGGGGCCTGTGGCAGGTGGGGTGAGCTGGGCGCTGCCAGGAGAGAGGCCTCCCTCTGACCGGACTAGAAAGGGCCGGGCTGGCAGCCCCGAGTCCTGGGCCCTATCTCCCTAGCTGCTGGGGGTGCCAGGGGAGAGAACTGGGGGCGTACGAGCACAGAAGGGCCTGGGTTGCAGCATTTTTCGGCCTCTTTATTTGAACCCGGCAGGGCCGGGGCCGTGTTACAGTCGGCTCAGGAACCTTCGAACAGATTTGCCTTCAAGTTTAAGACACAGTGAGCGTGCGAGCGAGAGAGAGAGCAAGAGAGAGCGAGCGGGAGAGCGAGAGCGAGAGAGCAAGAGGACAGACTAGCGCGGGCTGCAAGCTAAGGGGCTGGCGGGGGGCCGGGCGGGGCCGCCGCAGATCCGTTTACAGCTGTCGAGAGTCAGATGCAGGTGGCGGGGGGGGCCTTTGGCATGGCCAGTGCCCCAGGTGGCATGGCGGGGCGGCCCACGCCTCGACATAAATAGGAAATATAAGTTAGTATAACTTTTTAAATTTTTTGTACAAATATACAGGTTTTTCTCTTTTTTGCTTTTTTTTTGCTTTTTTCATTTTTTTTGCACTGAGATTCAGCAGAGATTAAACATTTTATATAAATGACTCTTAAAGCTTTACACCTTGGACCAGTGTGCTCCTCGTGCAGAATACAGTTAGATATAGAGGACGTCGTTAATACATTGCACAGTTTTCAAACTTTAAACACAAAACCGAACGCTGCTTGGCAGGCAGCTGCTGCCGGTCGCTGCTACATAGACGGTCCCAGCCGAGGCCCCGCGCTGCTCCCCCGTCCGCTGCCCAGCGGGCTCCCTCCGGGCTCTGCGGGCGCGAGGCTGTGGAGAGAGAGCGCGGTGTGAGCGGGGCGCGGGGCCGGGCGCTGGGGCGCGCCGCCCGCCGCCGGGGCGCTCACCTCCTCATCGCAGCCGCTTGCGCGGGGTCTGCTCGGCGGAGCCCACGTTGGGGGCGCCGCCCGAGGCCGCGCAGCCCGAGGGCACCTCGCCAGACGCCTTGTTCTCGGGCGCAGGTCTCTTGCGCTTGGCGAAGAAGTCTGCGGGCGACAGCGGCGCGGTCAGGGCGCGCGGGCGCGGGCGCCGAGGTCCGCGGGGGTCAGCTTTGTTTACGTCGCTGCGCGATGTGCTGTGTAAGCATCTCCCCGTCCCGCGGCCGGCCCCCCCCTTAACCCCTCGGCGCCGCGGCCGGGCCAGGCGCGCGCTCCGAGGGGGCCCGCGCGCGCCACCCCCCTCCCCCCGCGGCGGGAGCGCAACGGCGGGGCGGGACGGGGTGCGGGCGCCCCCGCGCCGGGCTCGGCGGGCCCTTCAACGCCACGGAGGAGGCGGGGACCGAGGGGGGCCCCCCCGAGGGCCAGGGAGCCCGGCCGGCCGGACAAAGCGGGGCCGGGCCGGGCCGGGGCGGGGCCGCGCGGGACTCACCCGAGATGAGCGGCCCGGGCAGCTTCTTGGCCGCGGCGCCGGCGGCCGCGCCGGGCGCGGGGCGCCCCGAGGCCCCGGAGGGCGGCTGCTCCGCGAGGGTCTCCTGGCCGCGCGGCGGCGGCGGGGCCGCGTCCTCCTCGTCGCTCTCGGGCGGCGCCGCGGCCCCGTCCGCGCCGGCCTCCCCGGCCGGGTCGCTGGACGGCGGCGCCGGCGCCTCCCCGAGGCCGTCGAGGGGCTCGGCGGCCGGCGGCGCGGGGGGCGGGTTCTCCCCCGCGCCGGCCGGGCGGGGCCGCGGCGCCAGCAGCAGGCGGCAGCGCCCCACCTGCACCGTCTCGCGGTAGAAGGCGGGCACGGAGTCGCTGTCCACCTCGGTCCACTGCAGGCGCCCGGGGCCCCGCAGCGGCACGTCCTGCTGGAAGTTGTAGTCCCAGCGGCGCTGGTCCTCGGCGCTCAGCTCGGCCAGGCGGGTGCGCAGCTCGCGGCTCAGCTCCTCGTGGTCCACCGGCCCGAAGAGGCTGCGGCAGGCGCTGCTGCGCACCAGCAGCGGGACGGTGCGGCGGGAGACCAGGCGCTCCATGGCCAATGCGCTGCGGGGAGACACGTCGGACGTGGCCGGGGCCGCGGGGAGGGCGGGCGGGCGGGGCGCGGGGAGAGGAGAGCGGGCGGGGAGGGTCGGGGGCGCGAGGGGACCCCGCGCTCGGGGCGCGCCTCCGCCCGGCTACCTGGCTGTCTGGCGCGGGCTGCGACTGCTGCTCGCTCGCTCGTCTGGTCGGGTCGGGCCGCGCCCTGCGTGCGGGTCCTCGCTGGCCGGCTGGCTCTGCCCGGACTGGCACTCCGAGCGCAGGGCACTTGGCCTGTGGAACGCCCGTCCGCGCGCGCCCCTTTATAGGCGAGGGTCCCGCCGCCCCCCCGCGCGGGCCCCGCGATTAGCATAATGTAGTATTTTCGGTTCCGACAACACGGCGTCCATTGGCCCGCGCCGCGCCCCCCCGCCCCGCCGGCCGCCGGCCCCCGCGCGCCGCCCCCGGGCCCCGCGCACACACCCACCGGGCGGGGCGGGGCGCGCGGCCGGGGCGCGCTGATTGGCGGGGCGGCGCGGGGCGCGGGGCGGCGGGCGGGGGGGCGGCGGGCCCGGGGGGCGGGCGGGGCGGGGCCGCCGTTGAGGGCGCTGCGGGCGGTAACGTGACACCGCGGCGCCCCGCCCCCTCGCCCCATCCCCCCGCCCCCGCCCCCCGCCACCTCCTTTGTCTGCCCGCGGGGGCGCGGGCGCCCCCCTCCGCCCGGCGCGCCCTCCCCCGCGCGAAGGCCCTCGAGGGGCCCGGCGTCCGGCCCGGCCGCCCCCCCGCGCCCCCCCCAGCTCGCCCCGCCGCGGGGCCTCCCGCGCCAGCTCGCGGGGCTCCGCGCGGCGCCAGCTCGTGCCCGGCCGCGACGCGGGGTCTCCGGCTGCCCTGCGCGGCCCCGGGCGCCCGGGGCCGGGACCCCGCCGGGCCGGGCGCACCTGGAGCCCCAACACACCTGCCGACCCAGAGACCCTCGGGCGGGGGGCGGAGGGCGAGAGGGACCCCAGGACACCGGCCCGCGGCCCCCAGAGCCCCGCCCAAGCCCCGCGCGGTCGCGGGGGCCGCCTGTGCCCGTGGCGTCCCCGACGGGGGCCAGCGCCCCTTGGCCGCAGCCGCGGTCCACGTCTGACGGAGCGGGGGCTGGGCCCTGTGCTGCTGCGGAGCCCTGGACGGGCACCAGAAGCTTCTGGGCTCACCTGGCCTCCCCTTGTCACACAGGGAACCCCGGGTGGGGGTGGTGAGCAGCCCCCAGCCCCACCCACAGGCCCTGCGCCGCTGTGCGGACCTGAACCTCTTGTCGTACCCCCCCCCGCGGGGACCCCTCAGTGAGCCCCAGAAACACGGTGGGCGGGGAAGGACACCGCAGGAGCGACTCGGCGTGCCCGCTGGGGGTCCTGCCACCGTGTCTGTGTCTCGGCCAGGGAGGCCAGCGCGGAAAGCAGGGACCTGGCCAGGGGTCATGGGCTGGTCAGACCAGGCCCGAGCCCCTTCTGACTCAGCTCCCTGGAGCAGGCCCCTCCGCCCTGAGGCCTCAGCCCAGCCAGGTGGAGAGACCAGCGCTTGAGGCGCGGCCCCTGGGCCCGGCCCCTCCGGACATGGGGAGCTGGGAGGTGCCCCAGCCCCGTCCACACCAGGGAAAGCCGGAGCGGGTGGCCAGGCCCTGAGTGCCCAGGCCTGGCGGATAAGCCCCCAGCCCCCAGCTCTGTGGAGCAGGCCTCCCTCTGGTGGGTGGAGCCGCCCCGGCCAGCGCTGCGCTGCAGATGTGTCCTGGGGGGCTGCGGCTCCCTGTGCACCCGGCTCCAGTGCCCCACGTTTTGTCTTCCGGAAACGCAGAGGGGCTGACAAAGGCTCCGGCCGTGGGCCCGCAGGTGGGGTGATACCGCCTGGCCCCCCCTGACTGGGGCAGAGTGGCGGTGTGAGCCCCCGTCTGCTCTAAGCCCCTGAAGGCCAGGGGCCTAGTTCTGGATCAGCAAATGACCAGAGGGGCCCTGCTCGGCCCTCCCTGGCCCCGACCCTCAAGCCCCTGCTCCCTGCCCCCACACCAGCCGCTTTCCTGGCTGCGGCCTCGGCCCGGCTCAGGGAGGGGGAGGAAAGGAGCCGCTGAGCTCTGCAGCAGCCAGCGGCCAGGCCGAGGGCCCCAGCTCCAGCCTGGATGGGATCCAGGAGCCCACGAGGGCGGCGGGAGGGCGCCCCACAACCACACCTCCGTGTGTCCACCCTCCGCCGGGAAGCTGCAAAGGCCCCTCGGAGCCAGCACAGAAAGAGCGTGCCCAGCGGGAGGCACGTTGGGACCTGAAATGTGAGACGTGCCGACCCTTGCTCCGGGCCAGCTCGCCGGCCTTCGCCCCATCTCTGGCCAGACAGGGGTGCAGGGAAGGCCCCTGAGGACAGCAGCCTCCTCTGTGCACCCCCCGGCAGTGCTGGGGGTGAGAAACTGCCTCCCCGTCCGGCCACGAAAACCTGGGGTCCACTTGTGGCACATCTGGCCGGGGCAGGTGTGGTTGACATTTTGCAGAAGAGGAAAGGGCGGGTGGCCCCATAACGGCCCCTCCAGGGTGCACCCCCCGGCTCCGAGCCAGTTTGCAGGTCTCGAGTGAGGACCCCGGCTGGCTGTGGAGACAGCGCGGAGCCCGGGGCTGCGCCCAGAAGGCCGCCGGCTCGGCCCACGGACACATGCTGCCCCCTGGCGGCCGCCCGGCGCGCGCCTCACCTGGCCCTCCCGGGGCGCGGGTGCCCGGCCCTGGCCCTGGCCCTGGCCGCGCGCGGGGCAGCCCGCGAGGGGGCCTGGGTGTGGGCGCCCGCAGCCCCCGCCCGCCGGGCCGCCGCCCTCCAGGACGCGACGCGCGCCCAGGCCCCGCGCGGCTCCGCGCCGGCTCCCGGCCAGGGCTCGTCTTTCCAAGAAGCCACAAAGGGCGCGGCCGGCGCCCGCGGCTCCGAGAGGCCGAGCATCTGCTGCGGGCGCCCCGGCAGCGGGGTGGCTCTCGCAGCCCTGGCCCTGAGCCCCACTCTTGTCGGGGCCGAGGCCTCGAGTGGGCGAGAGGGGACGTGGAAGGGCCGCGAGCCTCCCCCGGCCCTGCGCCGAGAGGGGGGGGCTGCGGGGCCTGCCCGGGAGTGGCCAGCGCGGGGCCCGGCCGCGGCGTGAGCCCCGGCACCCCCGTCCGCCCGCCCGCGCCCCCGGGGTCAGGCCCGCACGGATCGCGGCTCCCCCGGCGTGCGGGGCGGGCCTGGGGGCGCCCCTCGACTCTCCGCCGCCCGTGGGGCCCGTGGGGCGGGCGCGGCCCGAGGACCCGGCGGGCGCCGGCGCCTGAGCTTCGCCCCGTGGGGCGGCCGGGCCCCGCCGGGGTTACCGATTAACCCGCGGGCAGGAGTTTCCCGCGCCCTGGCGGGCCCAGCACCCCGCCGCCAGCGCCCCCCTCGCCGCGTCCCCGGGCGCCCCCACCGGGCCCCCCAGGACGGGCTGTTCTTGGGGGCTGCCAGGCACGTCCTCCGCAGGTGCCGGCCCCTCCGTGACGCGCGCCCCGGCCGCAGCGGGCGGGAAGCTCCGATTACAGGGGCTGCCTTGTGCCCGCGGGACCCCCGCCCGCCCGCCGGCCCGGGGAGGGGCGCCGGGAGCCGGCCGCGAGGGCGCCGGCCCACCGCGGGGGGCTGCTGCCTGGGGGGCGGCGGGGCGCCCCCCAACCCCGCCGCGTGGAGCGCGCAGTGAAGGCCGCGCAGCGCCCCTCCCAGGGCCGGGGCGGGGGCGGGGAGCGGGCGCGCGGGGTCTCCCCCTCCCGCGGGGTCTCCCCCTCCCGCGGGGCCTCCCCCTCCCGCGGGGCCTCCCCCTCCCGCGCCTCCAGCCCCGAGAAGCCGCGAGGAAAAGGCTCGGGGCGGCGCGCCCCGCCCGGCCCCCGCCCGGGACCCCGCGAGCCAGCGCCCTCTGCCGCGGGGTGCACGGGGACCCGCCACCCACGCCGCTGCCGACACCCCCACGGAGGGCCGGAGGTGCGGGGGCGCGGAGCCCCTCCCCACGGGGCCGGCCCGGCTTCGCGCTCCGGGGAGGCCGCGTGGGCTCGCGGGCCCCGTCCCCGTCCACGCCCCGAGGGGCCCCGCGGAGCCCGGGGAGGCACCCCGGCCGGCTCCCAGGGCGCGGGGGGCGCGGGACAAGCGGCCGCTGGCCCCCCGCCCGCGCCAGCGCGGGGTCCCCTCCCGCCGCCCCCCGACCCTCCCCGGGGCGCAGCCGGGCGGCCAGTCCTCCCAGGTGCCCAGAACCGGGGCTCAGCAAAGGGGCGCCCGACCCCCCCACGGGCCGGAGGGGGCTGAGGTGGCAGCAGCCGCCGCGGCCCAGGCACCGCCCCGCCAGCCGCGGCCCCGCAGCCCCAGCCGGGCGTCTGCTGCCCCCCGCTGGCCAGGCCCGCGCCCCGCCCGCACCCCCCCCGCACCCCCTCCCGCGCCCCGCGCCCCGCGCCCGGCCCGGCCCGGCCTCCTGGTCTCAAGTCTCAGATGGGGGAGGGGCCCTGCCGCTGTGGCCGCCAAGGGGGCGCCCCATTTCCAGAACCCCAGAACCCCAGCACCCCTGGCGGGACCGTCACTCACACCTAAGTGGGAAATAGCGACTGGTCGCTGCCCGCTGGGGGGCGGGGGGCAGGCGCAGAGAGGGGCGGGGGCCCCAGAGCCCACAGGCCCCAGGTGGGGGCCGCCCCCTCCCTGCCCCCCTCCCCTCCCCTCCCCCCTCGGCTGCCCCTCCCCCGCCCCTTCCTCCGCGGCGGCCCCGCCCCTTCCCCTTCCTGTCCTCGCCCCCCGCGGCCTCCGCCCCCGCCCGCCGTGCGCCGTCCAGAGGCCCCGGGCTGCGGGTCGAGGCCCGCCTGGGCCTCTCCGTGGGGCCGCCCCTGGCGCCCCTGCCTGCCGCGGCCGGCCTGGGCTCCGGCGGGGACGCGCACACCCTCCGCTTCCAGCAGCAGGGCCAGACGGTCACCCCAACCCCCGCTTCTGGGCCCCGGCAGTGGCCAGAGCAGGCACCAGCCCTTCCGGGCAGGAGCACAGATGAGAAAGCAGGGGGAAGGATGTAGGCACCCCACAAGCCCCCTTCAGTGTCCTGCACCCCCAAAATAAACCTGCACCTAAGGGAGCCCTGGGGGCGGGAGTCCACCTTCCAGCGGCCACAGCCGGGGGCCAGCCATGGTGGACTGATGGCAGAGGGGACACAGCAGCCCCACCCGGGC